CAGACAGACAGACAGACAGACAGACAGACAGACAGACAGACAGACAGACAGACAGACAGACAGACAGAGACATTTAATTTAATTTCATTTCATTTATTGAATTTCTAGGCCGCCCAATCCCGGAGGACTCTGGGCGGCTTACAGAAATGAAAAATATTTTTAAAAAGGATTAAAACAATAAGATACAACAAAATTAAGAAGCACAACATGCACCAAATCAAAGGGGGGGCTGGACCTCAATCAAGAGGTCAACAGCCCCAGACAGACAGAGACACAGACAGACAGACAATGATGGATTGGATAGAAGGATAAATTATATAGATTGTATAGATGGATGGATAAGTTAATCAGGGATGGCTATCCTCTTCGGTTCGGAGTGCCCAAACTGAAACACACGTGTGCATGCATGTGTATGCAGGCGTGCCAGTGCACCGGAAACCTGAAGACCAGCTGGCCAGTGTTCACACGTGTGCCAGCCAGCTGTTCTTTGGGTTTCCAGTATGCACATGCACGCCCGCCAGCTGGTCTTCACACGTGCCAGAGCCCCGGACCCAAAGACCACCTGGCTGGTGTGCACACGCCTGTTTTTGGCCGTTTTTAGACCATTTTCCAGGCCATTTTTGGGCTGGTTTCAGGGCTGGTTTTGGCCCGAAAAACGGCCTGTTTTTTGGCCATTTTTGAGACCATTTTCAGGCCATTTTCCAGCACTCTTGAAGACCAGCTGATGATGGCGCGCACGCACAGAGAGGGCTCTGTATGCCACCTCTGGCACACATAGGTTCGCCATCATGGGCCTAGATGGATGGATGGATTGGACCGACAGACAGATGACAGATGCTGGTATTTCAAAGCGCTTGAACCTGGCTCTTCAGCCAGCTTTTGGAGAGAACGGCTGATGCTTTCTTTCCGTTTGCTTCTAGGTTTATTCTTTGCCATCATTGTTCTTTTGTGCCCTTTTTGTGGTTTTGAATTGTTTCTTTTTCGTTTTTAAATGTTTTAATTGTAAACTGCCGAGAAGTTGGATGGCATATATATTTAATAAATTATTATCATCCTAGATTTCTGATGTAGTTCATGCTACACTAAACTTCAATTCGTATGGTTTGTTGCAGTAAATTAGGCAGTTAATCCCTTTATTTTCAACCATAGGTTTTAATAAAAACCCGTATAAAATTACAACACTCCTTACTGGCTCAATTCATACCCCTACAATTAATAGAAGTCATCTTTCAACGTCTTCTTCCTTGCCATCACTGCAAGCAAAGCAACTTGCTTTATTACATGGTGCTCTACACTGGTCAGTAAGAAATGGATTTCAATAAACTACGATTAGCTGGGTTCACATAATAGGCTGTGCTGTAAACCATGATTTTAAGAACTTAATGGCTAGAGCCACACTGCACTCTAAATCCAAGCAACACAAATCACATTACGCCTTAATGCGATGTGCAAACTCAGTTCCTGATTCTTGTATAAGTCACTTCACAATTATGTAGAATTCTGTGGTTCTTAAGCCAAGAGTTTCTTTTCTAAGCTCTTCCTTTTTGAAGCAGTCAGGTGCTGTAGGGAGATCTGGTAAGGACAGGGAATAGGAGACAGAATTGGCAGAGTTTGGACTCCAAGTTCCATCAGACTCAGCTAATCCGGTGACCAGTGGCAAGAAATGG